ACATTTTCATTGAGGTTTTTGTCTTTGAAATGTATATGAATTCTTTGTAAGATTGTTTTTTATAGTACTTTGATTTGAGAAAAATCCTTCATTTGTGGTTCTTTCATTGTCTACTTCAACCAATTTGTGAAACTATGGTTTGATGTTATCAACATTTCCTGATGTGACAAACACTTGGTTTGGAGAAATAACATCATCTGTGCATTTGAAATTAGGATACACCAATGAATTCGTTTCAAGATAATGAGCACCCTTTTCAGTCATCACTTTGTCGAATATTTCTGTATCACCATATACTTGATCGACAACAATTCGTGGAATTTTTGTTTCTTTCGAACCTTTGTTGGATGAAATGGGTTGCTTTAAAACTTCATCATCACTACTATCAGTCTGACTGTCTCTAACATCCACATGATCAAAATCACAAACTTTCGAAGTTGAGGGTTTGTTACTGTCAATCTTAACCAATGAATCCTCACAATTTTCTTTTCCTTTAGACTTTGATGCAACATTAACAATAGAAAACTGAGAACAATCAATATCCTCAAGATCACTAATTTCACTAATATTATTAGAATTGTCTTTGATATGAGCAAAATTAGATTGTGAATCAGATATTGAATTCTCAGTCTTTTTCAAAATTTTGGATTTGTTCATTCTTGGTTAAAGTATCATTCACAATATCAACTAATTCATTCGAATCCAGATATTCATCAATTTTAACTACTCCACAAGCATATCTATCATCTAGAATTTTATCAAACTCTGCTATAGTTTTCTCACAATCATACGAAACATTATCAACCTTCTCTCTTTCATATTCTAGAAAAGGTAATAATTTCTTATGTTGTTCTTTACTAATATCAGAAGAATGATATAAAGCAGTAAGTTTAGCATACAGACATTTGGCAAAATTACAATATATATTCCTTTGGGCTAATAAGATATTTACATCACTACTCAAATTGTCCCTGTCACGCATAATGTTTGTAATCTGCAATTCTAAACATTCAATTTTTATTTTCTTGGCATCTAACTGCTTCTGTACTTCTAACAATTGAGAAGTTGATTTCTTAGCTTCGTTGCTAGCAGAGATAACCAACGTATTGAAATATGCAACAGTATCATCAAAAGCAATTAATTTAGAATCATATGAACTTAAAGGAATATTAAAAGATTGAGGAATAGAACGTACCTTGGTGGTCATTGGGGATTTATCAGCACTTTTGGTCATGAAACAATGACCTATCATAGTTTCGTCAGAATCTTCTTCATATTTCGCAAACATGGCTCCATGTGTCGGATTACCATTTTCTTCGTCATCTGAACCCGAAGACCATATCTGATAGGTTCCTTCACTCTCATCATTGACCTCTCCCTTTGCCACCAGTGACATTCCTTTCTCTTTTGCCCTCACTTCTTCCAACCTCTCAATGTAATATGCTTCGTCCTTCACATTGTTTTTCTTTTCATCCTTTTTATGAAACTGACAATCACTTGCCATATGATTGGCTCCATGGCAATAATGACAGTCTATTTCTGAATCACCTTTAATTTTCTTCTTAACTTTTGTCTCTTATTTCTCTACGCCCTTTTTCTCACTCTTCTTCTTCTCTTCTCCTCTAGCCTTCGACAGAAATCATCCTTTCACATCAACATTTTTCGACTTCGAATTGAACGGTTTCGTGAAGAACTTCTTCACTTTTTTATTCGAATAAAACGTAACAGCCTCATCATCTGAATTAACAATGAACCCTTCTTCATCAGAATCCTCTTCTTCAACCTGTTCCTTTTCTGAAACTTTCGAAACTAAGGCTAATGGTCCACCCAAGCTCAATTTCGATTCCTCAGCCATTTCATTCACTTCACCATTGTGAGTCTTCAGCATATTATACAGATCATTCAATGTTGATGTGTCGAAACTTTGCTCAGTTTTAACCATCAGAGTAACATTCCTCCATTCCTTTCTCAGACCCATGATGCACGTCAAATTGAATTCCATGCTTATTCTTGTAATGCCATGATGATGACACTTGTAGATCAACTCATTCAGTCTATCATAGTAACATTCGATTGACTCACCATCCTTTTGCTTAAAATCTTTCAATCCAATCAAACAGTGCTTCACTAAATTGATTTTTTACTTTCTTGAAAAGTTTTTGAGATTATTCCAAATTTTTGTAGTTGTACACCTTCTGACATAGTTATACACAACTAGAGGTAATGCACCGCATAACTCTCTCATACACCGTTTTTCAAGTTTCTTCAATCGATCAGTTTGAACATCAACACTTGAAGTTCCAGATGAAGATCTAATTGGTTGAACATTTTCCGGAGGAGTAACATTCCCAGAAATATATGACCATAGCTCCTCATCGAGTCCATTTAAGTAGTCTTTCATACGATCAGCCCACTGATCATAGTATTCTGGTATGAGCATAGGAATCTTAGTTGAAGAGCCTAGCATATGAGAATATGAAGTAATTGAATTTAGGTTGAAATTCACCATTGATGTACAGATTAAATTTTATCAGAAAACAATGAGAATTTGAAAGAAAATTGCTGAATTAAACAAAAAAATTAAATAGAATACTCGATTTAACAAATCAGTTGCAGAATCGAATCACAACTGAATATCAAGAACACTTTTTCACTTCAAAAGGTGCGGAAAATTTTGAACCAGAATTTGATTCAAAAACCTTTTGAATCAGAGTGAAAATCAGTTCGCAGATTATGATTCCTGCTCTGATACCAATTGTAGTGATATAAGAACATGGTGATTTGGGTGTTCAACAGATGTATTAAATATGTATGGTGTTACAAAAAGGGGCATATATCTACATCTACATAAATAACACACACTTACACACTCACTTTTACACCTCTCAAGCACACCTCTACAAGTAGACTAAACCCACCTTATATAGAGGTGTTTACATGTCAAAACGCTAATTCACCACATGTAAGTGGGTTTTACAAAAGCAACACATTACAAAGTCAAACATGAATAACTTGGCACCCTAAAAACAGGCAGATTCCCTCAGCAAGCTCGCATCAACATGTTTTAGGCATCTCTCTAAGGAGGTCCTGGTGGTGGTGCTAAAAGAGAGGAGCATTGACGAGTGCCAAGTCGATTCCATGTCTACAGCACAACCTAACTAGATGATGCCCATAATAGATTACTTGCAACACGACATACTTCTCGACGACCACGAAGAGGAATGTTAAATGAGGATACGAGCCCCCCACCCCCAGTACACAATCTTGGGAGGAGCGCTCTAGAGAAAAGGCCACACGGCGGCTCAAATGCATAAATGGCGAGTCAGGAAAAAAAGGCCCTAAAAGAAGCCCACACAGGGTCGGCTGGAGCCCACAAGGGAGCACGGGCACTCACAGGATAAGTACTACGCATGGGGCTCTATTGGCCGAACATACATCAGGATGCCGTCGAATTAACTCGGACATGCGTGGAATGCCAAACCTTCTCACCGGCGTAAGGAGTACCCCCAACCAAGTTGACGAATATAGTCAGTTCGTGGCCTTTCTATTAATGGGGAATCGATATCATCGGCACCTTCCCAGAGACACCAGGGAAAGTGAAGTTCGTAGTTGTGGCAGTTGACTATTTCACTAAATGGATAGAATCTGAACCATTGGCATGCATCACTGGAAAACAAATTATTAAGTTCATGTGGAAGAACATTATAACGAGGTTTGGGCACCAAAAGTCTTGGTCAGTGACAACGGACTGCAGTTCGCTGAGAACCCCTTCAGAAACTGGTGTGTTGAAAGAGGAATAGAGCAAAGGTTCATGACAGTTGCCCACCCCCAAGCCAATGGAATAGAGGTGTCTAATCAGATGTTGGTGCATGGAATTAAGAAGTGGTTAGGCAAAGCAAAGGGTAATTGGGTAAATAAGCTATCGGAATTCCTTTGGTCATATTGAACTACACCATGGACCAGTATAAAGGAAACACCATTCAGCTTGGCCTATGGAGCCGAGGTAATGTTACCAGTGGAAATAATGATAGGCTCAATACAGACAGAATATTGCCAGGAACAAGCAAACAACGAGAACCTAATGGAAAACTTAGACCTCTTGGAAGAACGGTGAGAATACTCGAGCATGCGCCAAGTCGCTTACAAAAAAATAGTAGAGAGATACTAGAACCAGCGAGTCAAGGGCAAGGTTTTCTGGGATGGGGATCACATCCTATAGAAAAACGAAGTTAGCCACACGCAGCCCCACAAAAAACTAAGCTAGACGTGGGAAGGACCATACAAGGTTGTGGAGGTACACCGTAACATGTCATACTCTTTGGAAACACCTGAAGGAAGACAATTACCAAGAACATGGAATGTGAGGAACGTAAGGAGGTTCCACTTTTGAGCAAATACCACAAGCCCCTTTGCAGAAGGGAAGATAGTGAAATATCCCTTGGTCGAATTGATCACTCGTACCAACATGCGGATGCTCAGAGCAATCCGATAGGGAATTCTAGTGCAGAAAACTAGCATGTATAAGGATTACATAAATAAAAGAAAATGCACTAGTCTTGATATGTTGTTCACAATGAGTATGTATGATAAAACAAAAAACACAACATAGAGGATACTTAGTGAATCCACATGCACACATAACAACAATGACAAATCTCAGAATAGAGTCATACCAAACAACAAAAACCTACAAATGAGGTTTGGTAAATTTAAAACCTCAGACAAGACACTCAGAGTAAACAAGTGTGCCTAACAAGCAACACAGCGTGGCACCAAAAAGAAAGCAAAAACAAACAAAGCCACCATTGATTCATGCAAAATATAGTCAACATAGTATGATAAAAGGCCTTAAAGGCCACAAATTGTTCAAAAACAAAAACAAATGAAGCCACCATCAACATAATAGGATAAAAGACCCTAGAGGCCACAAATTGTTCGAAAAAAACAAAACAAAACGCTATCAAATCTTTTCACACTCCGAAGGGCAGCTCTAAACAACTTTAGACGCCGTCATTGGCATTACCTACATCAGTTTCATCTCCCGCTCCATCAGCTCCAACCACACCAACGATGTTTCTTTCAACAAGACCTATCCCTACATCCCCCACAACATCCTCACATTCATCAAATGCACACAACGTTTTTACCCCATCTAAATCCAGCTAGCCCAACCCAAGTAAGCCTGCAAAATCCATAGTCGAAAAAGCCAGGAGGGCATTGTCTAAAGCCGAGGAGTGACTCGAACGTGAGTCACTAGCAGAGGGGTTATAAGTCCTAACATTAACTTGTGCCTTTAAACTCCACCAACCTGACTCTTCACCTACAACAAGTGCAGCGTGGCGTATGCAGCTAATACCCCGGTAAGCTCAGGATGTTCTATGAGCTTATCCATCACACAAGGCCAACCTGGAGCAGCCAACTACGATCGGCCCTCAACACTTCCAGCTCATGCTCGTGTTCGATAAGGTCGCATTCCAGGCTCTCATTATGTATCATTATACCCTTGTTTTTTTGTGTCATAGACTCCACTTGAGCCTCCAAAGCACTTCGAACATCCTCCAACACCAGTTTCTCAGACACCAATGACTTATTCTGCTAATCCAATCGATGAACGGTAGCACCAAGATATGCCACCTCGCCCTCCATACTCTCCTCACTCGCTGCCAAGATAGAATGTGCATGCTCAAAATAGCTGAACCGCTGCACACGCTAAGATCCAGTAACCAAGTAAGTCATGGCCCGCGCGGCAGCATAAGCAAGGTTATGAGCAAGGGCAGCGTTGTTCATAGAATCCATATCCTCGATAGTAACAGGAGGAAGGGTATGATGAGTAAACTCTAAGGCAACATAATGGATGGACAGATGGGAATGAGGGTGAAGATTCCACCGTGGAACAAACGCAGGCACACCATGAGAAACCTTTGTGGCAGCAGACTCGCGGAGTAACCGCTCAACGCTATCCCCCGAAGACTGAGGACTATCACCAGGACTCAAAGTAATTGGAATAGGAACAATGGGCTGTTGAGATGCCCCCTCGATACCCTCAGACTGTTGGACGTCATCATTGGGTATCACCAACACATCTTCGGGGTGTGGCGACGCAGAAGATAATACACGCATAAGTCAACAGCGTTGCACCACACGCCGACTAATCTAACCATAATTGCCCCCCAGACGCCTACCCATCACCTGAACATCCTTCCATTTCTCTGCAACCTGACGGACCCTGACAATGATCCCGTCCTTACTATCCACCGCACCATCGGTGGACGGCTCGCTTGACGGGCGAGGTATCACGACAGGGGTCAAGGCAACATTAGAAACCGGCTGGTTCCCCGACACAGTAGAGCTCCCCACTGGCTTTGGAGGCGCCACATCAGAGACACTCAAATGACGGGGCGGAGGCAAAGTCTCATACAAAGGCACCATTCGATGCTCCAACTTCCCTGATACCATTTTTGCTGAACAGAGTCCATGGAAACAGAGTATTCGGTAACTATAAAACAATGACCAAATATAAAGGAATAATAATAATAATAATAATAATAATAATAATAATAATAATAACAAGAGAGCAGAAAGAACAAGTATAATGCATCCCCTACCTTAGAGAAAAAAAAGGGGGGGGGGGTAGAAGAGAAAAAGCAAAAACAACTCACCATTAGAGACGGTATAGAAGACGGACATCTCTCTCTTGGCACGCCAGCTAGGACTCATCCCAATCCCAACAAGTAACGCCTCCAACATTGTATCAATGTCTACATGAAGAGTGCACAAGAAATCGGCAGTTTCTTGGTTATGAGGGAACAGTTTCGGAGTAACATCTGACAAAGCATTCGTCCGATGGTATTCCCAGCCAAGCAGATCCTGGTTGACCCATAACCACTTGTCTTGCCAATTCTTTGGTGGTTTGTTGTCAAGGACGAGATCATGACTAGCCCGGCGAGCAGAAAAAGTGTACTTTTCGTTAGTAGCAACAAACTGGAAAAAGAACTTGAAGATGAGGTAGTTAGGAACGATGCCATTAGCCCGACATATCATTTCAAAAGCTACTATCTTGTGGACAGCACCAGGGGTCAACATCTGAACATTGCATCCACTACGCCGAAGTATTTCCTCATGGAAATCATTCAGTGGAAGACGAAGGTCAGCGTCGAAAGTTTTTTGATAAACACCCACCTTCCCAGGTGGCGGCGAAGTGATCACAACTCTAGCAGCCGGGAACTCCACTCTGTTGGCCGTAGTAAGGCCATAAGCCTCATGAAGAGTGGCGAATTTGGAGGAACTGGGGATCAAACTCATGGAAGAAGCCATAGAGGAGATACAGGGAAATAAGAAAAGGAGAAGGAAATGAGAGAAGAAGGTAAAAACTAGGGAAAATCTGCTCACAAACTATAAGGGAGAAAAAAGAGCGGGATTTTATGAAAACCCCTGACACGGCTAACGTAACCGCCGCGCACGTCGAGCGGTCACATCACCAAATATGAAGTGATGAAAAAATGAGGGCACGAAACGTATACCGGCAGTTAAGTACAGAACATCATAGCAAGCTAGCATATGCTATGAGTACTGGACTCGGGGACTTGATGACACGCCCCTCAGAGCGGGACAAAAGTAAGAGAGCCCCCGACAAGGAATTCCCAGCAAGGCCTGACCGAGCCTGACTCAGCTACCTTGGTCGAGTTGGGGACTCTAGTGGGGAGACCGCGCAAGACCCTCGCCCTCTCCATACGTTGTCCTTCGCTACAGTCTAAAGATAACGGCTCCAGGCGATAATGAGCACATCCAGAGCATTCTGCTTGGACCAATCATTAACTCTGAAACTACGAGGAACACGACCCATCAATAAGGACGACAGATCTTGTCGGGATCGCAATCCTTGTCCCTCATGCGGATCGAGGAGGATCCTCAGTAAAAGGACGTTAATCCTGCCTTGATGGGTAAGCTATTCTTCCCGGATCCTCTGTCCTCACACTTATTCACTCTACTGACTTGACCGTCGGAGCATTTTTTCGGAACCTACCCCCGGAGAGTGGCTTACGGCTTTCCTTTCCTTTTAACCTTTCAGGTTTCCTTCTAGCGATCATCACCAATAGATTAGGTGGTCAGAGACAAATTCGCATTTATATATATATATATATATATATATATATATATATATATATATATATATATATATATATATATATATATATATATATATATATATATATATATATATAATTAAAATATTGATTAAGTAAATTATACAATTAGTGATTAGCGTTGAAAAAATGAAAATAATTTTGTTGACAAAAGGAACATAATTTTGTTGTTTAAGTGTGAAACGAATTTAGTTGACTTATTTGGTTTTATTTTACGTTTTTTTTTTAATTGTTATTCTTTTTAAAGCAGATATAAAATAAAATTGATTGACTTCTGTTTTGAAGCTATATATTCTAACAACGAAGGCTCCTCGACAAATGCAAATAATTCGGGATACTTAGTATCTATTATTCGAAGTGTATGTTGATGCCCATAAATCATCAGTTGTTGCTTCATCAAGTAGTGGAACAAATAGTGGTGCTGCCAATCCCAAGAGGAGTTTTGCTTCTGTAATCAAGCGGTTATGTAAAGGTCTTAAAACTAGGATAGCTAAATATGATCAACATATTAGAACTTTCGATCATGTTACTGCTTCAAAATCGAAACTTAATACTTATTTGGAAGATGGAGTTTATATTGGTGAACCATGTGTATATTTTGACGCAGTGTCATGATGGAAAGAGAACAACCTAAAATTTATAATTCTGTCCAAAATGGTTGCCGATATCTTGGCAATTCCGGTCACTACTGTGGTGTCATAATATGCTTTTAGTGCTAGTGTGAGGGTTATTGATCAACATTGTTCTTTTTTAGGAACAAACAAGGTAGATATGCTTATTTGTGGAGCTGATTGGTATAAAAATTATTATGGGTTAGAGAAAAAAAAAACAAGGTGTATATATATATATATATATATATATATATATATATATATATATATATATATATATATATAATATATATATATATATATATATATATAATATTATGGATTTATTGAGTTAAGAACTTTTTGGTGTGTAATAGAAAAATGAGGATATTGTACCTATTGAACTACCTTGAGGCGGAAGATGATAATTGATATTCTTTATGGTAAAGGTAAATAAATTCTATATACTTTAACTCTCGTTCCTGTTTTAGATAAATTCAATGATTTTAATATGTTTTATGTTTATTGTTAGTCAAATGGATATTGAATCGAAAGAATGGACATTGGATTGAACCATTGGCTATAAGGGCAATGGTTTTTGTCTCTTTAAAGTATTATTTGGTTATTTTGTATGGAATGAAAAATAACTAAGTAAAACATTATTGTAGTGTTATGTTTTTGTCTAACAACTAAGTAGAACGTTATTATTGTATGAAAATGTTGAACATGTGTTTGTTTTCGTTTAAGTTCATGGTTGTTTATTTATGTTTGTTTAAGCTTTTTTTGTGTTTGTTATATGTTCGTTTAAGTTTGTTTGTCTTTGTGTTCATTTATGTTCGTTTGTGTTCGGTTATTATGTTTTATTGATTTATACAAATATTTTTAAAAATCATATTTTTTCAGTGATCCCTACTTTAGGTTTGTACCTCGATAAAATTCAGTGTGATGTTGATCTTTTGTTAAATTTAATTATTGCAATGGTTAGTTTGTCTACAACTTATTAAGTTATTTTTCATTTGTGATGATTATTATTATTTCAAGTATTAACTATTGTTTTAATTAATTATATTTTGGGAAATTGAGGAAACTAACCCATATAAATGATCTTTTTGAAAAAATGACCAACTTATTATTTTTTTATTTTTTTTTGGTAAAATAACCATTTTCTTTGGAATACGTCATTCCAGACAGACCTCTAGAACACCAGAGTAAGATTCCGGATCATAGTTCTGAAACACTTTTTTGTTTATTTTTATTGTTATTTGTGTAAATGTGTTTTATTTGATTGTTTTTAGAAGTTTTGTTTATATAATATCTCAAATGCAACTAGTAATCTTAAAATCATCTTTGACCTTGTAGCCCAAATTTTTTTACCAGTCCTTTATGATATGACATAGCTCATGGATCGCTTTTACCCTCTATAGAATACGACTTCTGATGATCAACGCTTCTATGAACCAACACAAAGACACCCAAAATCTCGTCTATTCTCAATTTGTTGTTGTACCTGTGGCGCCTTTTCGAGGGTCATGTTGGAACTTTCAAGTAAGACTGAATCAGTTGGTTCAGTACCTCAGTAATTGATACCCACCAGCAATTTGTGCATACGAGCTCACATACCGATAAACCACTTGGGTTGTGGTGACTTGGTAAGGCATGTGGAAGATATGGTGGATAACCTATTGACCCATGTTCAAATCCAAGCACCACTCAGCCCTTGTGGCCATGGAGGTTCGCCTGCAGTGACTCCAGGGCATGAAGCAAAGCTTTATGTTTGCAGCGGGGGATTAGTCGGTGCGCGAAAGCTGGCCCGGAAACCCTCGTTAGGGAAGTTCCCTTTCCAAAAAAAAAATGTAGTCGTTCTTCCAATGACTATTGTATATTGTTATTTTGAATGTCTTCAAATTCAAAGCACTCAAAAACCAGTAAACAATTGGTATATTGATTGGGATGTAATGCTACAAAAAGGTTAGAAATAAGTAAACATACATCAAATAACATTATAATATATCCTGCTAACATGACTATAAAAAAAAATTAAACTTAAAATAAACATAAATTATAAAAAAATATTTGAATAATTAAGTAACCATACGTCGTTGATTTGTAAAATCTTGTTGCATTGAGTCTTTTGTAAATGCCTAAGTTTTGACCATACAACAACCCGAGGGATCACATTCTCTTACCGGATACCAAACAAATTGTTCACAGGAAAAGTCTCAAGAATCCATATCTGAATGTTAGTTAACAAATAATAAATTGTTACAATGTTAGCAAACAAAATAAATAAATAAATTTTTCATCATATACTTACCTTAAAAGCATATAAAAACCTGTTTAGGGTGTAGGACTTTTATGAGGTTGTTTCTTTTTCGGTTCATCTGAATGTATATGCTTGTCAACCTTATTGAATACGATAACTAGTTATGGGTACAGTTAATCCCAAATTATCTTCCCTATGGATATCTGCCACATAAAAAATTAATTAACAGTTAAATTTCTAAAATGTATTAGTAACGATAAGTAATTATAAAATAGACGATATTATACATGTTAAATTCATCAAGGTTGGATAGCAAAAAGAAATACTCGTATGTAACCAAATTGTTTAGGCAACAACCCACTGAAACCCTTCTCTAACAGGTATAAAACACATACACGAATTGTATCCTCGTCCCATAACTCATTAAGTGGATGTTTAAACACCATCATAACATCGTCTAGCTTGACTAAGATTTTCCTCAAGACCAAAGGAAAGGCTTGGGAACGGAAGGCGGGCCGGATGCAGAAGCAGGAAAAAAGTGACAAAACAAGAAGCTGGTGATGAGACAAAATTCTTTCTCCCCGAAAGATAGCTCATAACCCCTAATCTTAAAAACCATTTCCTATACTTGGCTTCGAGTTTATGATAACTTTGTGTAAAAAGATATAATGTAGAAGCAAATGATCCCCATTTACATTAGAAATGTCCAACCACCTCCCAAAACATGAATTCCAAAACATAGTCTTGCATTCCAGTCTGTCTCTGAATGCTGCAAGAATTCCCCCGCTAATTTTAGGTTTACAAGACAGTGTAACAGATGCATCAAAAACCCTGTCGTGCTGCAAATAAAAGAGGTTATAAACCTACACCGGAACAGAAATGAGCAGCATTTTGGAATAGTTCTTCAAGTTTCGGACATGTTCCAGATCTGTTCATCGTGTTCCAGACCAGTTTTTCACATTTCGGAGCGTTTTAGAAGGCAATTTTCTGTTCCGAAATAGGCACAAACATTCTAGGATGGGCATTCCAGAGGATCCGAAATGGGCCGACCAACGACAAAACGAGTCCGAAATACATTTCAGAAAGGCCCATTCTGAAGAAAATTGTTATTTTGCAATAAATAAATAAATAAGTTATTTAAAAAAACAAACAAATGGTTAGTTTATTCATTTTTCCTTATTTTTTTTATTGTTTATGTTTAATTATTATCCTTGTTAAAACAATTTTTTAAGAAATTATATTATTATAAAACTAGTTTTTTTTTTGTTGATAGGTTTATTTAGTTTGGCATTTTAATTTAAGTTTTATATTTAACATAATATTAATATTTTTTTTAACTGTTATAAATAGTTTTTGACATTTTTCCTTGACATTTTTTTTTAATGTTTTGCATTTACACCATAGTTTTAATTAATAAACTAGAAAGGTAACCCCCGCGTTGCGGGGGTCAGAAGGTGTCGCTTTTGTGTGGAAGTATAGTACATTGTTCTAATTGATAGCTACAATAAAATATGTTGCTATTGTCTACGTTTCGCCCATTTACAAATACACAAATATGTTGTAGTATGATATAATATAATGACCCATTTGTGTTGCAAAGTAAATAGCAAGTGCGGCACCAATACCCTACCTCTCGAATATTAAATAAACCAATGCCTAAGGCTAGGTTATGGCCAATACAAAGACCCTATAAAACAAACATAAGCAGTATAAAAATATGGACAATGTTTCAATACAATTTTCTAAAAATCGGTTCAGTATTAGTAATCGTATACCTACAAATCAACAATAGACACATTTTCGGTAATGGATCAAGTAGTATTGATGCGAAAAAACAAAAAAAAAAATCATCTTTTGACCAATTTATCAATCAACTTGCATCAGCTCCTTTTACCCCAGTAGAAACGTCATATGTTCTTCCTCCGTCCAAGGAACTCCTGCAATTCCATAAACAACCATCGTATACTGGTATCACTAATAATAACAATACGAATAATGTAACTGGTACAACTTAAAAGAACAAACTCTAAAATTAACAATTTTGATTGAATTTATGGCTTGTTCATCCACACATTTAATTTGAATGTTCTAAATTGCATCAAGATTATAGGTTACAGTTTCTGGTTTTAATAAATTGGAATGGTAAAAAACAAAAAAGACATACACATGTTTATCTGCTATTGAGGTAAGTTTGCAACAGGAACTTCAGCTACAAACAACAGGAAACACATTTAATAAATGTAAAACCCATACCAAAACCAAAATATTATCTGGAAAGCAAAACATATCCTTATTTGTAACTAAGTATGTCGTTGTTATGCGATAAATATAAAACTTCACATAAAAGAAATGCAAGTATGTTGCTGTTATGGGTAAAGTTAAAAGTATATTGCCCTAAAATTTAAAGTATATTGCCCATTTTACTAACAATTGGTATGAAACTTTTTAAAAAGTAGAATAAATAAACTAACCATATCATGTTTTTGTAACAACCTAACAGGAGGAATATGGTACTATTCAACATGACGAATTGGCGAGTTTCTGGAAGAGCAAAATATTATAAAATCAATAAATAAAATGATCATATCATTTTTTATAATAATATTTAACAGATTAATCATTGATGAAAATTCAAAGAGAGGGAAACATTGTATGTCCTTACCATGGTAATTGGTGACAATATGCCCTTCTTCATCCCAAAAAACTCCTAAACCATTGCCTTTTGGAATCTGCAAATTATCTATATATCAAATAAAACTACCCTGTGTAATCATTGATATCTTTTTCAAAAATAAAAGTGGAAAAAAAAAAAAAAAAAAAAAAGAGGAGTGCGATGCTACGATCAGGTGATGTTTTAGTGCTAACTTTCCAGTATTCAAATATAAGGTACATATATAATGGAAATTCCTTCATGGAATGTTCTTCAATGTTAGAAGGTTGAATCTGCGTTTACCTTTGCTTATTGGATTGATTAAGAATTGAATTTCCGTGTATTTGAGATATGAGAAGAGACAAGAATGTTCTAAGAGCTCTAGCCGCCTGGCCCATAGTCTCTAATCATTTCATATAAACTCGCAATGTAGATATTGCCTGCATTCAAGTAAACATAAATCTTTTTGAAAATTCATGATTTGGTAAACATGATGCACATTAGCAAACATGGTCCATGTTAGTAAAACATGGTGCATCTTACAAAACCTTGAGGTATGTGGATTCAAGGACAATAGCAAAAATACAATTTTCAATGGCATCGTAATTTAAGCAAAAGTTTCATATGCTTCAGTACGGTTGCAAAAACCAATGGTTGCAAAAGGATGCGAAAGTACAAATATTAAAGAAAATCATAATTGATAGATTAAATGAAAATATACATGATATGAATATGTACAGATAGTAGGCATACAGTGTTAGAGAGGGAAGCAAACAGCATTAGAGAGTAATATGTTTTTGAACCTTATAATTTTTGTAAAGCAGTACTAATCCAGTAATACGTTTTTGAACCTTGGTGAGGAAGATGTTATAATTTGGTCTTCAATGTGGAAGAAAAACAAAAACAAATACTTTAACCAATTGATGATCTGTTTTGATTCCTCGAATCACAGCAACACCAATAACCTGTTCACTTATAGTTAGAACAAATCTTACAACAGGAAGGCTAATCAGTAATCCAACTAGATTAGAAAACCTAGCTCTAAAGACTAAATACGAATTGTTGTTTTTATTAATCATATTCATGTACAGATGAAGCACATACCTCTACTTCCAGAAGAGCACGGAGATCACATATTGAGATCGTGTTTTAAATCAAATTAAACCCAAGGAGTTAAAAAACAAAACTGATAAGATTTTTGGTGGTGATGTGTGGGCTTTAATGGCAGCACCAATCGAACTACCTCCTGTAATCTAAATTCCCCTGCAAAAAAAACAGAAGGATACAACAAAAAACGATCATATATACATACATAAACATCAGAACAAAATGTTACCTCTTACACTTCCAGATTTGATTATATCCTTGTACGTTTCAGTCTTCTAATCCTAAGAACACCAAAATAAGTAGTTGAATTGAGTTTCAATTGACACCTGTCAAAAACATCAAATACATTTCTGAAAAACCAACTTTCAATATGAAATGTAATTCATTCCACTTCTATAAAGGTAAACCAAATTCTCGTCTGTGCTTCTGCTTCTCAGCTTAATCTCATTCATTTTCTATCACCTACTTATTGTCTTAATAGTGGGAGTCAGGAGCATGGAAAACATGAATAAGAACCCACACCAATAACAACAATAGATCGCGCTACCATCATAGGAACAGATACACCACCTACTGCAAAATCACACACAACTGGAAAATAGTTAACATTTAAAGAAACAGGTATGGTCCTCAGCTTACCGATTCTTTCAGATGCGAGTGAAATCAGCGTAGAAAATGGAGCCGGGGTGGTAATTTGAAGGTTATACCCGTATGGAAGCAAATGGCCCTTTTATTTGTTTCCTAAGGAACAATAGAAAATTAAAAACTGGCCCTTTTATTTGTTTCCTAAGGAACAATAGAAAATTAAAAACTTTAAATTACCTCATCAATGACAAAAATCCTTGCTTTCTTTCAGTATTGTCTGCGATGGTCCGCACCACCACCAATGAGCGTTGCCCTCTTCCTAAAGCCCTAAAACGAAAGGAAGAGGCCCAGTCGACATAAGGGTAGGACGACGACCTCGAAACGAAGATGGAAGCTTCGCTCAGTTTGAAAATGAAGAAGGTTGAAGACTGAGCAGAAGCAGCGGGGTGAGTCGGTGGAGACGATCGTGAGCAGCTGCATATAGGTCGGTGGTGGTGAGAGGGTTTTGGGTCACAACTGTGATGAGTCCGATGTTGAAGATCGATGAGTCAGTAGGTGGGAGGAGAAGATACAGATAAGTCGTAGGCGAGTCGTTGAAAGTTAGACGGAGCAAAACCTCAGACGACGATGCTTGGGAGCGGCAACGGACATTAAATGGAGATTTCTAGAGCAGAGCAGGGAAGTGGTAGAAGAGGAAACACTCGCAGAGAGTTATGAGGCGGTGGAGAGTTATGAGGCGGTGGGTTTCTGGAATAGTGGAATGAGGAAGGATCGAGATGGCGGTGGGTTATACCGGATGAGGTGGGGGTGGTTACCATGGTTGAGAAAGTGTTCAGGTAGAAAGGAGGGGGTATGAGGTGGTGGGTTTCGGTGGAAAGTAGACTATACCGGAGGAATAGAGAGAGTTCTGGAAGGACGGAAATGAAGTCCCTATTGGTGGAGAAAGCGGTGAAAGAAAGACAAATGAACGCGTGGAGACACAATTTACAAAAATCGCAAAATATATCTAAAAGAAACAGTCCAGAATTGTAAAAACAGCGATAGATGCAGGACCATATATCTGCCAAAACGTTAGGAACTTCACTGTTCCTAAATTTCATTTCTTATATCTTTACTATCTTATAAAAGAAATCTAATTATTTCTAAAATAATAATATTTTTTTAAGACGTCCAAAAGATGAAACTGATAGTACAAGTGATCATTAATAAAATAATATTAAATTTTAACCACGTTTTGAATTCAAATATTTATCATCAAATCTCCTTATATTTCTCAGCAATTTGATATGGTTCCCTCAAATCCCGGATTTATTCAAAATTTGAACCCTTTTAGATATCCTTAAATTTAGCATGTTGATTCAAATATCCCTCCAATCGCATATACCTCTTTGTTCCGTCATCTGCTATAAACCCACCGTCCAGGAACAAAAAATGACTTTATCTCCCAAATAACACCATAGTTTGATTATTTTGTCTTCGATATGTACTTTCTTTTGTAACATAACATTTTTGTAGAGGAACACGCCCCGCCGCTTTGCGCAGGTACACTGCTAGTATATCTTTAAAGAAATCTAACTATTTCTATAAATAGATTAAATATAATAATATTATTAAATATAATAATATTATTTTTTTAAGACGTCCAAACTATTAAGCTTGAAGTACAATCTATTTATAATATAATAATATTAAAATTTTAACCCTATCCTTTATCCCCTAAAAATCTCGTATCAAATTAATAGAAGAATTCATTTGCAAATTGAACCCGTCAATCTCAACACTTCAGCCATTTGAAGCGGTCAATATCAACAATTTATAGAGGATCTCTTCTCTCACATTGGTAACAAGCCATCTCATAATATCTATCTTCGTAATCCCTTCAAAGTAAGAAAATATACGCACACTCTCTCGAAGAACCTAACCAGTAACCAAGATAGTATCACCACCACCACCACAGCCACTCTGCCTCCTTTCGCTTTCAACTAACCACTATCACGACTACCGCCCTTCCTCTCACCCACGACATGAACTTTCTTTTGGAACATAACATTTTTCTTAAAAAAATATCGTTGAAAGAAACTATTTGTCCCCGCCGCTGTGCGCGGGTAACGGCTAGTGTATATATATATATATATATATATATATATATATATATATATATATATATATATATATATATATATATATATATATATATATACTAATAATTTAAAAGTTATATCATTAAAAAAAATAATGTTTTACATCCATCACATGCTAGTTAATAATATAATATTAAATTAGATATATTAGGTTAAAAATAAAGAAATTAACATTAAAATTAAAAGAGTAAATGCAAATTTGGTTTGTGTGGTTTGCTAAAAATCATTGTAGATGGGGTGTAAAAAGTTTTGAATTTACATTGACGTACCATTTAGTGTAAGGGTCTCCAAATTTTTCCTTGCATCGAAATTGGTTGTGGAATTCATGTAGTTCGACGATTAGTTCTATAGGTCTAGCATTCTTCATGATATTTTTTTTTTACATGAAGGGGGTTTGAAAAATGGGATTAAGTGGGGATGTGATTTTCTACCTGGTCTTCTCTTTTGATTTTCGGGGATTGCTATCAATTTTTGAATATTTTACTTGGTGAAAACTAAAATGTGAAAACCAAAATTGATTTCGGGAAGAACAAGATTGAAATTGATACTGAAACACAATCTTAGACTTAAATGAATCGTTTTCTTGTAATGAAAAATAGATGTATCATCTAAATATCAAATTTTAAACGACAAATACAACATAAACTATGAACCCTAACAACACAATTTAATATATGGAATTATTCATGAAAGAATCTTCAATCAAAGAATCAAGCAACATAAACTGAAATAATAAGGCATTAATTTGAAACACCGAAAGTGTATACACCAAATTCCTTTCATAAGAGAGATTGGAAGAATGTGATGACAAAGAAACAAAGAACGACATGGGTGGTGATCTTAGAGGTCTTTCAAAATAGGTGGTGATCGTAAGGGTCTTCTAAAATCATTGGGGGAGAGAAAGTCAGAGAGAAGGGGGAGAGAGCGATGGGAGGATAGTTGTAACGTCCCAATTTTCACAATAAAATTTTCAATTTTTAGATAAGATAAAATACAATTTTCATAAACCAGTACCAATAAAAACCATTTGTTTCAAATGACAAAAATCCCAAAGTTTGAGTATGATGGTTAAATGTGGAGTCACAAAATACATAGGCTGCTGATGAGTGTGTATAGTCATGTCGTCGTCTTCCCCCGATCATTTGAAGTACCTGAAATATTTAATCCTCAACTACAAGTTAAATTTGGTGAGTTCCCTAAAATACGATAAACATCACAATGCATGCAAGCATAACCACAATGGCCTTCAACGCGTAGCTGGTCCACCCCTTTGGCCTTCAATATAAAGTTGGTCCACCTTTGGCCTTTAACATGAAGTTGGTCTACCACGAGTATCTTGACCTTCAACACAAATCTAGACTACCCTCAACCACAAGATATGTCAACATATTTATATTTAACAGATAATATGCAACTCAACACCACAAGCAACTAAATAACTAGTCTATCAGCCTAACAACATAATTTCATCTTAAAATACAAAGATACATGCAACAATATATAGTCTAGTGAGAAAACTCACCTAAACTAGTAAGTTGAAAGATCACCACTCAACTTCTTGCCAAGACAACTACATGAACCTCCTAACCTGATAGAGGTCAAACCTCATCTTACTACTTGAAAACCTCAGTTTGATCAAAAGTAAAATTGGTTAAAATGTCAAAGGTCAATAAAAGTCAATGATTAACAAAAGTCAACGCTCTACTTAAGTCAATGGGCAACAAAATTCAACGGTCAACAGTAATCACGTAGTGACTAACTATGAGTATGGATTGTCATGTCGTGATTACTAGGTGACAAGATAGTGGGGAAAAGCCCAAATTTTGTGTCGAGACATCTAGTCTTTTGCGATGTGAAACCCGACTTAGCGGCCTTCCTCATTTTGTACTTAATCCATAAAGACATGTGTTTCAAAACTCATATTTGAAACTCCTAAACGTCTTAACAGATAAAGTTTATAACTTTATCCATCCCAAAACTTAATCAACCAAAAACTTCAAGCATAAGTCTAAAAATCCATCAAAGAGCCAAAACTAGGTGCTTGGCTTATCTAAGAACACATGCAAACTCATTTCCTCGAAGAATGAGGTTCAAAAGTATTAAAATGTGACCAAAAGGTTCTAGAGTTCCCCTAACTCTAAGAACATAAGGGAAACGCAACAAGGATCACTCAAGAGTCATCAAACATCTAGATCTATCAATAACAAAGCATAAAGGTGAGAGCTTTATACTTACAAAAGGTCCAGAAGGTGACCAACTTTTTGGAACACCAAGGATTCACATACAAAAATCTTTCTTTAATCCCCTTCTCTCTGAATCTTCACAAAAGAGCACCAAAGCACATATAAGATCAAAATGGAGGCTATCATTAGGTAGGAGAATGTTCTCTAGGGTAGAGGCTAACAAATGACGAAACCCAAGGGAATTGTGCATTAAATAGGTCCAAATTATGTCGCTTCTAGGTTTTGTTCCATCAAACCATGCACACCACAAACTTCAGTTAAATTCGTTTTGTGAATTTGTAGCACCGTGAACCCCAAGATGGATCACGGCTCTAGCCATGGAAATTTCCAAACTTCAAACAATTCCTATAAAATTTACCTGAATCAAGGATTTTGCAATACTGGCTGGGCATATTTCTTTTTTTTTAATTTTAAATACGAAGATAATGTTAAAATTATGTTAAAACAAAAGGAAAAAATAACCCTTTTAAGTTTTTTGAGAACCAAAACCACAAAAATTTTCAAGTCCAAGTTGAAAACTTTTTGAACCTTATCCATAGTTTTTAGCAAACCATATGGACTAAATTTGTAGTTGACTCAAATTAGAATGATGAATTTTTTATGCACTATAAGTATAAACTAAATACCATAGATTAAAAAAATCTTGAGTTCTAGTGGTTATACAACTGAAAGGCGAAGAGTTTTAGTATTAAAAAAACAATCTTTAGTGGGTGTAATGTCCGGTTCCTGGTATGTATTTTAAATCAATTTATTCATTTTTGTACTGGAAATCGATGAGTTGGAGGTCCAAACTCGTCGAGTAGGAACGAAATTTGGACACTGAACCTAAAGTCTACTCGACGAGTCGAGGGACTCAACTTGACGAGTAAGGCTGCCAGATTGAAACCCTAATTTTTAGGGTTTAACACCCTATTTAAACACCTTAACCTCAAAAAGCTGACCTCATTTCAGCCTCCATCATCTCAAATCCTAGCCACGAAATCCTAATACGTTTTTGAGAGTTTTGAGCCATTCTTAGTGCTTTGTTGAGGTTTTGAAGAAGAAGATACTTGAAGAAGGAGCAAGGAAGTGAAGGAGAAGAGTAGATCCAGAAGTTGAGCTCCATTTCTCGTTCATTGGAGGTATAAAGCTTCTATCTTGTCTGTTAAATGTTTAGATCTAGTTTTGGAGTGATTTCTCCATGTTTTGGTCCAAGTATGCTAGCTTTTGAGACTTGGACGTCCCAAGTAATTACTCTTTCAGATATGTGGTCTAGAAGGACTTTCAT